GCAAAATAGTAGTTTTATTCAGTCTAGGAAGCGATATAGGCGTTTCTTTGTTTAACCAGATATGTATATTTTACCGGCCTAATTATTATGTATCATGGTTAACCCCTTTGAGCCTGTAATCCTATTTCTTTGGCAACCACATTACAAGCCTTACCCCTTTGTTTGAATTAACCATCTATTGAACCTTTTCACCTCTCATGAGCACTTGAATTATAATGAACTTTGTAAAAGTTAAAGTGTGGGGTGGTTGGTTTGGCTTTTGAGTGGAGCTAATGAAATAAGGAGAAAGGTGCACTGTGTTGACAAAAAAATAAGAGCCACTTGAATTGGAAAAGAAAAAGAAAAGAAAGAAAAAAATAGTTGTATTGTTGCGAAAAATATTCCTTGATAAGTGGTGGTTCTTGATGTAATTGTGCTTAAAGAAGTAGAGGGGTAATATACATTGATATAAAGGTGGAGTTTTGGTTTGACATAAGTGGGGTTTTAAAAGTTAAAATGTATGTATTAAAGTGCTTAGGGAGGTGTAGTCACTCTTATATCTAAATGTATCCTACCCGTTCCGCAGCCTTACAACCAAATAAAGTCCTACTTGATCCTAGACTGAATGAGCTCGATTAGTAGAGTAGTATACTACGAGCAAGCCTATGGTGCATCTTTTGTGGCATATGAATGTTATTTATGAGAGTGAGTGAATTCTTTCTATCTTGAGTTCCTAATTGTTCTTTAAATTTTATTATGTGGAACTTCTCTCTTTTGTTGTGTGAGGACACTTGATTCATGAAAGAAAGGTAATTTCAGTGACCTCTATGTTAGAGCAAGTGGGTCAGTTATGAATAATGCGTGGTACTTGTGAGTCAAATCTTGAGGTGAAGATGTTACGCTTTTGTTCTTAGTATATTTTGAATATTCTTGGTGTGGTGAGTTAGGAGAATTGTTTAAAAAGGTCGTGTCTATATAAAGCGTAGTTTGATTGCTCGAGGACGGGCAATGGTTTAAGTGTGGAGTGTTGATGATAGGCTATAATTGCGTATTTTATTCGCTTATTACACTCTTATTTACTGCACTTTAATTGAGCTTGAGCTTTAATCGCTAGTGTTTTGCACTAATTGTGTATTTTATGCCTTGTAGGAGTGATTCCGAGCTATGTAGATATTATGGAATGAATTCAAGTGATTTGGAGCTTTGAATTCTGAGTAAAAGCCCAAGGATTTAAGCTGGGATCATGTTCGAGGATCAACGGATGATAGTTAAGAACGAAACAAAGAATCGAGCGGGCATACGGCGCATTGTCTAGTAAAATGCACATAACTTTTAACTCAGAACTCCATTTGGGCTCCACAATATATCGTTAGAAAGATATTTGAAAGGGCTACAACTTTCATATTTTGCATTTTCACGAATTCCCACTAGCGTGGCACATGGTGCGCCGCACCGCGCGCCGCATGGTGCGCCGCGCCGCGCGCCGCGCCTATGGAAATTTCCTGCAGCCTGTCAAAATCAGCTCTCTGAACTTCGCCACAAGCACACCGCATGGCGCGTCGCCCCATGCGGTGCACCTGTGCAAATTTTACAGAGCCAGAGTCCTATTTCGCACAGGAAAGGTGTTTCGGCTGGGCCCGACCCTATTTGGTATAAATATATGTAAAAATGCTATTTGGAGGAAGGGGGGACATACTTTTGACATAATTTAGACCTAAAGAGGCTAAGGAGACCGGGGATTCGATCTAAGGAGGCAAGAACACACTAGGAGCAAGGCGGAGAATTTTTCTATGAGGTTTTCACTTCCTTCTTCTTATTTCCATTATTGGTTTTGAATTCTAGTATTGTAGTTATGCATACTATTATGAATAGCTAATTTGTTATCTAGGGTTTTGATGGAACCTATTGGAGGATAATTTTCCTGTTACGTTAATATAGATTTGCTGTAGTATTTTCTCTATTTGTTCAACTACGTTATTATTGTGGTTGGTTGAAGAGCTCTCAATCGACTGTGCCTATTTAGTGTGTATTACTCGGGAGAGAGTGCATATTTAGGTAGTTGTTGAACAACATCACTCCTAACGTATATGAGGGATCATTACGTAGGGTTTAAAGGTGGAATTAGGGATAAAGAAACCTTGGGTGCGATCCGAGTGAGCCGTACTTAATGCCAACTAGCGTAATTCGGGAGAATATTTCTAGTAAATTATGGTAATTACTCGGGAGAGAGTTACAACTGTCAGAGCGCTCATGATCGGTAGAGAATACTTAGTCGAATTTATAGAAAACGTAGCGGGAAGAATTCCGACAATAGGGGAAAGCATAACTCTAGACTTCCTTAATCTTGTCTCTAACCCTTAGTATCTGTAGTTGTAATTTACTACGTAATTTAATTTGTTTGTTAATTAGTTAAACACAAGAATCTTAATATCTATAACATAGGAATTGTTCGAGCTTGTCTTTTTAGCAATATTGAACAGTTGTAGCTAAGCCTTAGTTCTCTGTGGGATTCGACTCCGGACTTGTAAATCGGATTATATTTGCAACAACCGCTTTGTCTTTTTTATAAGGCATAGTTGGGCGTGATCAGCCCCCAAATTTAGGGGGCTCCATTTTTAAAAAATAATCGGTTCATAGGTATTTAAAAATAATATTTAGTATTTTTAATACAAAACTAGAGTTTTTAATAAAAAGGATAAAAAAAATTTTAGATATATAGATAAAATAATACTTTGACTTACTTAAAAATGTGTAGCTGAATAGTTCTCATAACATTAGTTTTTTATTTTTTACTCCTTTATTAAAAAATTTGCTCTCTCTTCCTTAACTTGTCCAAGTCAATCTTTCCTTCTTTTTTTTCCAATCTCTTTATATTTCAGAAAAGCCTACATATTTTTTGCGTTTCTCTTTGATATTCTTAGTCACTTCTTTCTCCATGATTTCATTACTCACCTTCTTTCTCCAAGATTTCACTAGTTCAAGTGTTCAGCAATACTTCTAAGCTTTCAATAGTTGTATACTTCTATTGCTTTGTAAAATCTTATCTAAGATCAACAATATCTCAAGAAAGATTAGATAGGTTGGCTATAGTATCAATCGAGTAAGAAGTATTCGAGAAAATCGATTATAAAAAAAATTATTAACAACTTTATATCTTAAAAAGTTAGAAGAATTGACTTCAAATAAAAACATATCGTATAATTTTTATTTAAAAATTAAGGTCTCATATTAACCGTTGCCTTTAAGCCCCGTATGTGATTGAGCCACCCCTGAACCCATAGCTCGACTTCTGCCTTCGCCCTTAATCTTAACTATTGGAGAGAGGGGAGAGAGAAAGAATGGATAAGCATATATATATATATATATATACTGCATTACCACATGTACATGAACTACATATGGGATGTTGCACAAAGAGCAAGCAATAGCCAATGAGGGTTATTACTAGTGTATGTGGGGGAAGGATGCATGCTTATTGTTTGCTTCGGTTCAAAGAATCTTAGCTGTATTTCAGCATCGAGGTTACAAGATTTCAAGAAACACATTGAAATTCTAGTCAGTCAAAGCACTCTGAACAAATAAAAGCTGGCTGGTATTTAAGTAGAAAAAAAGGTAGCTCAGCATAGGAAGTATCTCATATTATGTCGGGTTCGGGGAAAAGGCTGCATGATTAAGGATATAATGTAGATAATCTACCCTAATACAAGCAATACTAGCTGCTTCCACACCTCAAACCCGTAAGAGTTTAGATTTTTCTAACAAACAAAAGCTGGCTGGTCTTTAAGAAGAAAAAGGCACCTGTACAAAATATTCTTATTTACGTAGGGTTCGGGAAAGGGTCGTACTTTGAGGAACGTGATATAGAAAGTCTATCTTAATGCAAATATTAATGGCTACTTCTACGGTTTGAACATGTGATCTATAGATCACACGGAGATAAGTTTATCACTACTCTAAGGCTACCGTTCTATTTACGTAAAGAAAAGCAGAAGAGCAAATTTATTATTCTTCGAGTTTCATACTTGTCGATAGATATTTAAGTGGAGAAAAATAAAGAATAAATACATTATCTATCGAGTTTCGAACTGTTCCATTGACTAACCCTAGGATAATTTTCCATTATAAAATAAAAGACAGTCAGTCAGTCCAGATCTGACCAGACTGTATATAACATAATGCTAAACGTTACTTTGCTTTTGCCTCGAGAAAGAGCTTCTTCAGTAACTGTGCACGTGCAAACCAGTGTCCAAATGTGACTCATGTCTCCCCTCATTTTAGCTATATCTCTACACCTACTAAGTATTAAAAAAATTCAAAGAAGAAATATAGAGTGAAAAAGAGGGAAAATAATGTTTATACAGTATAAAATAATTTTTACACTATCAAATCACCCAAAAGATATTTACAGATAAACCTTCAACAAAAGCGGAATTTGCAGTCTTAAAAATGAGGTATAGGTTACCGACTACAATACGCAAAGGTGATTTAATAGCATAAAAATTAATTTATATTAACAGTATTTACATTCAAATCATTGTAAAATCAAGAGTTTAAAGCAGAGACAATACCTCTTCTTGATCCTTTTTAAGTCAATAGTTTACCACCAACATATTTGTAACAACATTATTAATAGAGAAGACTTCTCCTAAATGGTCAGCTATAATTTAAGTACTCCAACTATCAAGAAAAAAACATGGTCATGATTATGAAATAATGATACACAATCATGGGTTTCATAGATATTCATGATTATTATTTTTACTTGTCTTTGATAGGGAAGAGTTTTAATTCGTCTATAATCTATTTATGGAAATATAATGTAAATTTCATGAACATGGAACTCATCAAGAAAAAAATTAAAGGATTTGACAACATTCAGCACAGGTCAACAACAACAATAATCCGACCGGTAGAATCTCACTAGTGGGGTCTGGGAATGGTAGAGTGTACGCAGACCGTACTCTTACCTCGGACAGAGAGACTGTTATCAGGAGACACTCGGCTCAAAAGACGACGATTCAGCACAGGTCAAATGACAAATATTTCATATCATGTGATCATAATATTAAACTAACATTCGAAAAACCTAACCTGAAAAAGGACGTAAAATTCAAATCGTAATGTTACTAAAAGGAACATTATATGAAGAACTTGAAATGGTCAACACACGAAAACCCTTTACCTAAAAATCATCGCTAAGAATTCTTGAAGACTAATGAGAAAGAGAGAGAGAATTTTCGTCGATTAAAGGTTATGGCCCTCTAGTTTTGGATCATATGATCCAAAATTGGAGGGCCATGACCTTAAACAAGTGAATCAAAGAAAATTACCCGACCCGTTGTCTATGAATTTCAGCTAGTTAGAATGGAGGTCGCCCAGTTGCCCAATAAGCCTCAGAAGGTAATTGAACATTGTTGAGAAGGTTGGGTGGCATTCCATGAAACAACGACGGGTCAGTTAATAATTGTTGTTGTTGTTGTTGTTGTTGTCCTCCTGGACCAATAGCTCGAGGAGAACCAAGTGAACCTCCTTGAGGAAGAAGCGAATTCGAATCATCCTCCTCTAGTGGAAGTCTTTCATAAGCTGCATTGCTAAACGAAGCTGCCATAATCACAACCGGACCGGATGCCATTAGTGCCCCTACCACACAACCTCCCACCACTTGTCCTTGTCCACCGGCTAAATATATAGTCAATCCTGACGCTGCTGCTGGTGCTGGTGGTGGTAGAAATGATCCAGCTAAGGATAAAATCTCAAAATGCCCATGTAGGGTTGCAATCGCACCTGATAAGCAAAAAAATGTAATGTTACAAATCGAGATCTTTTGTCTCAACTTTATAATAACCCAATTTTTCACCTTGAATTAGTCAAAACATGAAAGCAGGAGATCTTAAATATTAGTCTGTCTTCGAACGTGGGAAGGGTAGACATTCAGTTTGATGAAGGCAGGTTCACATAAATTTGAATTGATTGATTAGGAAATCTGGTTACGTAGCGTTAAAAGCTTAAGTATCCGGAAAGAAGGAGGACCAGTTGGTTATAAAAGAAAAATGAAATTAGAGAAAAACTTGAAAAAATGATTTTGTACCTGGTGAAGCTGGTTGTCTTAGGTTTACATTAGTAACATTGCCTGTTCCACTCATAATACAAACCCCTCTTTGACGTCTTCTTGAAAAATTTGAAACACTTTCCATAATATCACAACCATCTGCAATTTCCATGACATGAGTTCTAAGGGCATTTGCACTATCTCTAGTGATAATAATAGGTGCCTTAGGTTTATTCTTGGATCCAGCAGGTCTACCTCTAGGCCTTCTATTGAACTCACCATCTCTATTGGTTCCATTAGCACCTAATTCGTCGTTTGATTCCTCGGCATTTGAATTATTATTGTTGTTGTTGTCGTTGTTGTCTTCGCGATCTCGCTTTTGCCCGGACATGTGTAGGCCACTTGTTCCACTTTGTTCATCTTCTGAATTGTGTTGGAATTGAAGGTGGTGTTGCTGCTGCTGTTGGTGGTGTTGTAAGTTAAAATTTCTCGTATGGAAAGGAGGTGGAAGTGAATTGTTCGACGGATCCATACTCTTTTATTATAGTTCGTAGAGACAGATCTAGAGCAGGTTCAATAGATTCAACTGAACCACTATTTTCTGTTCGAATCACTTATCCGAAGAAAACAAAGAATTTGAAAATACAAATATCTAATAGATCGCATCTATTTTGACCCTATTGACTCTAAATCTTGAATCCGCTGGATAGACCAGAGAAATAGAATGGAGAAGAAAAGAAAATGGAAGTACAAGAAAGGGAAAGGTTGTAATGATTTGAAAGGTAGATAGTGGGGAAAGGTTGAAAAAGAAAGTGAGTAGACTTTGGTTGGTTTCTTTAACTCATATTCTCTTTTTTTCCTGCTTTCTGGCTTTTGTTGGGGGAGGGGGGGTTTGTGGGGGGGGGGGGGTTATTGAATCAAGAAACTCACATATTCTTCAACATAAAGAAGAGAAAGAAGAACAAGTGGACCTTTGGATATTTTGGGTGTCACCAACCAAGAATTCCCAGCTTGTAAACTAACCCTATCTGTCCAACTTGACAAAAACTCTTACTCATCAATACTATTATATGATGCCAACTTCTCTGAAATTTCTAAGTGCTTCTTCTCCTTAAAGACAATAGCAGAAGTAAGAGTTAGGGTTAGCTAACTTATCTTGAGAAAGAGAAAAGACTTGGATCTGGCATGCTGGTGCAGTTTCACTTATATACCGGCAGTGTAAAAAAAAAATTTACAATATCAGATCACCGAAAAGATAGTTATATGTAACAACAATAACAATAACAACAAACTCAATGTAATCCCATAAGATGGGGATTAGGGAGGGTAGTGTATACACAGACTTTAACCCTACCTTGTGAAGATAGAGAAGATGTTTCCGATAGACCCTCGGCTCAAAGAAAGATGAAAAAGAAAATGTCAACATGCAATCTTCCATAAAAGTGAGATTTATAATCTTGTAAATAAGTCAGGTCACTTGCTACGAGAGATAAAAGTGACCAGAAAATTTATTTATGATCGGTGTATATAAAATATACACTGATAGTGTACAGAATTCTTATACTATTATTTGATGATGAGTACAAGTTACATGTATTTATTTTTTAAGTTATGTTAGTGAAAAATTATTTGCCTGCTAATATAGAAGTTAAAATCAAATTGGACTTAGAATTTGATTTGGTTTTGCTAAGTCTGACTGTTCATGGACGGTGGACAGGTCCCATTTCCCCTCTCTATATCTGTCACTCACTGTGGGGTATGTGAGGAAATAGATCGATATAATTAAGTTTTTTATAGTATTAATATATTATAGTTGAAAAATGCCTTCACCACTCAATTTATATTCAACCTTATATGTCCATTGCTTTGGCCTATCTCAATTAATCCATCAACATTACTAATTTCTTTTTCAGTTTTCCTTGACTTAAAAAGAGAAGAAGAATGATTTTTTCTTCAGAGACAAAGATACTGATATTTGATTGGTTAAGGATTTTTTGTTCTTCTTTGTACATGTTAATTGTTAGATTAATATGCTTGACAACTTCTTGCTTGGACAGTGCTATTACCCTCTTTGTCCTTTACTTAAAGAGTATAAGTTATTCGCATTGACAGTATAAAAGAATTTATTGCATAACGTCTAATTGGCGCAAAACACCTTGAGACGGCTCAGAGCAGGTAAAAAGTTCTTTTCGAACAAGAAAAATTCATGACATAAAATTACGGTGTTTCTTAGAGGTTTTTTTTTAAATTATTAGCAGTGTCGTGATATATATATATATATATATATATATATATATATATATATATATATTAAGTTGGGTTGGGAACGCATTATCGATATATGGATTCGGCTACGAACTGTTGTCGTAGCTAAAAGACCTACTATGTTGTATGAGGCATTTAATATATCAGGTTATTACGTTTCAGAAGTACATTAACGAACTGACAAACTGAGATAATACATATAAATGGGAATTGCACTTGAAAAAGTTTAAAAAAAAAACTGGAAAAAAAAACCTTTGAAAAAGTTTCAAGTGCTAATTGTCAAAACTAAGAAATCAAGTATAAGCACAAGCTGCCATTGATGCAGCAGTTGAGCTCACAAAGAAACAGACGAGGTGATACTCTTAATACCCCTCCCCCCCCCCCCCCCCTCAAGTTGGAGGTGAGGAACTCATTGCCAACTTGCTGAGAACAGAAGTATGTTTGATGCCTGTTAAGGCCTTGTTAAATATGTCTGCTAACTGAGCATCTGTGGAGATGTGATGCAAGGTGATAAGGCTATCATGTAACTTGTCGCGGACAAAATGATAATCTACCTCTATATGCTTGGTACGTTCATGAAACACCGTATTTTTCGCCATGTGTACTGCAGCTTGGCTATCACAAAAAGCTGGTATAGGATGTAAGCAAGGAACTGTCAGCTCTTCTAGCAGTCTTTTAAGCCAGACTAATTCTCCAACCTCTTTCCTTACTGATCTGTATTCTGCCTCTGCAGAGGAGAGGGAGACTGTTTCCTGCTTCTTGGACTTCCAGCTAATAGGGTTATTACCCAATAAGACAAGGTATCCTCTTACTGATCGTCTAGAATCAGGGCATGCAGCCAAGTCTGAGTCGAAGAAAGCCTTCACAGTACAATCTGGGTTGTTGGAGAGGAAAATGCCCAATGATGGATCATTCTAAAGATACCTTAAGACATGGAAAGCATCTTTAAGGCGAGGCTCTTTAGGTGTTTGCATGAACTAGCTTAAGTGCTGAACACTATAGGCAATGTCTAATCTTGTATTGGTAAGAAAGTTAAGCTTCCCAACTAACTTTCTATAGTGAGTAGGATCTTGCAGTAGGGCTCCCTCTTCTGCCTTCAACTTGAGAGACACTCGAGAGGAGAGGAGACTGTAGTGTACTGATTGTCATACTCTTTTAACAAATCTACAGTGAACTTCCTTTGTGAAATGAGGACCCCATAGTCTTTGTAGAACACTTCCAGTCCCAAGAAATAGTGCAACTTCCCTAGATCCTTGATTTTGAACTGATCATGGAGAAAAGCCTTTAGTGCTTTAATTTCTTCTACATTTTTGCCTGTAAGAATTACATAATCAACATAGACAGCCACGAACACAATTGAAAGGCCATTCCTTTTACATAACAATGAGTAATCATTTTCTGGATGTCTAAAACCCCTGGTACATAATGCTTCAGTCAGCTTGTCATACCACTGCCTGCTTGCTTATTTCAGTCCGTATACGGACTTGTTTAACTTGCAAACTAGACCAGGAACCTCAATCTGCAGTCCTTGTGGTACCTCCATATACACCTCTTCATGTAGATCTCCATGTAAGAATGCGTTGTTTACATCTAATTGGAACAAGTCCCAGCCTCTTTTAACTGCTATACTAATCAAAGTCCCAATAGTTGTCAAGATGACAACTGGAGAGAATGTTTCATTATAGTCTATTCCTGCTTGTTGTGTGTATCCTTTCACCACAAGTCTTGCTTTAAATCTTTCAACAGTCCCATCTGCTTTGTGTTTGATTTTATACACCTATTTGCATCCTATGGCTTTCTTACCTACAGACAATGTCACTAGATCCCATGTATGGTTAGCATACAAAGCCTCAAACTCTTGTGTCATGGCTGCTTGCCATGCAGGGTTTAAGGCTGCTTCCTCATAAGAACGTGGCTCGGAATCATGGGAAATGTTTCTCATCATATGCTGACTATCCTTGTTTAAGGCAGTAAAACAAACTTGTTGATGGTTTGAAAGGAAAAATTTAGTAAGACATTGTGTGAGATATTATTCTTTAGATTTAGAAGAGAATACACATATTCATTTAGGTAGCTTGGTGTTTTGACTGTTCTGGATGGTCTTGTATTATTAGTGGTGTTTGAAGTATTAGTGGTATGATGGTCTGAAGTATTTGAAAAACTGGGTGAAATTTCAAAAACACCTACATCAATAGGTGAGAGTTACTTTGATCAAATGGTGAGGAGAAATTCTGATCACTTGGTGAAAAGATATTGGTGACAGAATTTGGTGGAGTCTGTTGCGTCCAAACGCACACGCAAGTATACGCGGTCGTCAAATAATAAAGTGACTAAAAGTCGGATGTTGAACCCACGAGGACTTGTGATTGACTATTAACTAAATTAGACTATCCTAATTATCTAAACAAGAGTTAAACCCAAAATTAGTGATGCTAAGGTAATTCAACTAAAAAGAAAATAACTAATAAACTTTAAACAGAGGAAGAGCGGATTTTTATATTATCAATGTGATGAAAATGATCTAGGGTTATGGGCTATCTAACATTCCTATTATATTCTTCAATTGAATTGACTAACTAATTTATCTAGTTTATTGGTTAACAGGGTTAATATTACTCATAAGAATCTGTCGAGTTCTTACTCACCTATTCAAGCTAACCTAACGCCTATATGTCTATGGACTTAGAACTAAAAAGAACGCATCTATAATTCCTGTAAATCAACCAAGCAAGGCAAGTAGGTATATGTCTATCCTAACCGCGAATCCGTTCCCCGATGCCCAGGTTCAAGAACTTGCTCTATTCAATCCTATATGCAATCTAGAATTCCCACTTTCGAGTTCAATTCTAGATTCGTAGATAGTATTCAATTGGTGATCAAGCAATTAAATAATTAAGCACAGGATTGAATAAATAAACTAATACGATAAATCAAGAAATCAAAATCAATATCCGAATAACAATAGTCATGAAAGAACCATAACCATAGAACGTGAAGTTTAGCTCCACATAGACATGGTAGACAAACAACAAATCATACAAAGAAACATAAAAATTACAAAGTTTGGTGGAAGAAAAGATGAAACCCGATGACTTCCGGCCTCCACGGCGGCTCTGTGCTTGTGTTTTCCTCTCAAAAACGTCCTCCCCCTCAAAATAGGTTTAGGTTGGCTTTTATATGATTTGGGGGCGTCTTAGGGTCGAAATAAAGCGAGTCCTGGTCGAATTAGGACGTGTTTGTGTTTTGACTGGCCCTGGCCCTCAACTTTTCAACATTCTGTAAATTGCGCCACAGCCAGCGCCCCACGCTGGCTGTGGCCCTCAAATTTCACTTTTTGCCTTTTCTTCCCAATTTCGCTCCAATTCGCACCATTTCGTCCCAAAGAATGATTCCTACACATAGAAATACCACAATTTTGCACAAATCATCATATTAAACATCTCAAATCTACGAGACATGAGCAAAATGTGAGGCAATATACATCAAAATATGCATACATTAAGCCAAACATCAACACCCCACACTTAACGCTGCTCGTCCTCGAGTCAACCAACAAATAACTATATCTTTGAGCATTCTACACCAATGACCATGGTTCATAGCAGCAATTAAACTCTATCATATGCAATCACTACATACTTCCCTTTAACTTATGCCATACTTCAAAAATATTCAAACAAAGACAACATGTTAATAACAATCCTAGCCTCACAATTCGACTCAATGTCACAATGTACTCGTGGCTTGAACACCCAACATCATAGAGAAAGCTAATAATGTTACCTATCCCTCGTAAAATCATGTGCCCTCACAACAAGAACAAGAGAGTCGAATCTCATGATCAAATTTAGTTTAAGGACTCACTTGTATATAAAAGAAATCTCTCACTCTCACAAAGA